GTTGCAAGTTGTTGCTACCTATTGTTAAGTGTCATAGGTTACATTAGTCAATCAGTAAACTCTATCACCCAATATGATAACATGTCTTTAATCTAGGGGTTTCCTTATTTAACTGGTAGCTACTATAATTCTTTGTTTTGTTTTGTAAGTGTCATCGAGTCAGTTCTGACTCATAGCAACCCTGTATAGGGTTTCTGATGAGCAATTGGTGGGTTCTTTAGATATTACTAAGATACAAAGCCAACAGGAAAAGTCTAGAATTGGCCTTCTTTGCTCAAAACTAATTGATTGCTGTATTTTATATCCTCTTACATGTGCAAAGATTCTCCAATAAAGACAGTTAATACACCACTGGGTTATAAAAATACCAACATAGGCATCAATTTTCAAATTACTGAAGGACATTACTGTTAGTTATATAGCCACACAAAGGAGCTCCGGTAGCGCAGTGGTTACAAATCGGGCTGCTAACCTCAGGGTCAGCAGTTCAAAACAACCCGCTGTTCCATGGGAGAAGGATGAGGCTTTCTGCTCCTGTAAAGATTTACAGCCTCAGAAACCCTGTGCAGGGTTGGTATGAGTCGGAACCAACTCCACAGCACATACCAACAATAACAACAAAAATTCAGGTCAAACTTGATTTTGTGATTCAAGAATACTATGGCATATTAAGGGAAGCAAACTTATAGTTCTATAGGCCTTTAACTTTCTAACATTAAATGAGTGAGATGTACAAAGGGGACTTCAAAATGTTTGTGGAAAACTGGAATTAGAATATAATGGTGTTTTCCATGAATGTTTTGAAGCCGCTTCATTTGGTATATGAATTATATACCAATATACTAGTTAAAAAGTAGATAAGTAAAGCTGTTGAAAAAGTTGCTTCTACCTGCTTTGTGCATTTTTTTTTTTTATTGTTCATATTTTTTGGTTAATACTATATAAAAAGATCTGTTACCTTATAATGAGGACAGTTGTGTTTTCTTGTTTTGCTTTGTTTTTAAATTGTGATTTTCACTATTCTTTTTCCTGCTAACTCTATAAAATGACAAACCATGGTTTCAAACTTAACGTGACTTTACATGATGAAAATTAACAGTGTCTTATTTAGAAAACCAGAACACAGAAGAGAATCCTGCCAAGAATGGTTTCTAATTAAATCCAGATGCCATCAGAACAGAAATCGGGCGGAGGGCTGTGGGAATTGAAGAGTTTTTCTCATAACAGCGGTGATTCTTTTGCATACATACAAATGTTTAGAATGTCCCTCACACAGCTGCAAAGCATTAAGAATGTTGTAAACACATACAAGGTAAGCTTCACCAAACATACCCCTATTACACAGCAGAGGCAGAGCCCTGTGGTCAGTAGGTGGGACCTTACAATGCTGTAATTTGAGAGGTGGCTGAAGTGGCCCCTACTTTAAAACATCTCCCCCAATGTCCTGCTAGTCTAGTGGGTTACATAGAATTGGGTATTTCGAATTTACCCATCTGCTCCCTGGGAGAAAAATGAGGCATTCTGCTCACCTAAAGATTTATAGACTCATAAACCCTAAATATAGGGTCGTTACAAGTTGTAACTGTCTCCACAGCCCATAACCACCACCGACCACCAATGTCTGCTACACAGTGCCTGCAATGGCCATTCTTGAAATTAATCCAGTACCTTCAAAAGGTGCTTGCTGAGATGGATTCAAACATAACTTCAATTGTGCGGCTGGCATAGGACCAGACAGTGTTTAGTTCTTCTGTGCACAGGGTCACTATAAGCCATAACCTACTCAATGACACCTAACAACAACGCAGACATTGCTTAACAATTTTGATGGAAAAAATGCATTTTTATTTTATCCAGAAAGGTTTTTATAAAGCTAAAAAGGCAATAAATCTGATAATTCGTCTGTTTTAAAAATAGATAAATTATGAAACTTGCTCAAAATTGGGTGTGCTTACTCTAAAAAAGTCTCACGGGAAAGATATACTTCCGTCTTTCTTAGTAGTAAATATGTTTTGATAGTGCAAGAAACATTAACATGGATAGGTTAAGTGGGCTAATCTATTGATTAGCATTAACTCCAAATTTCCCTTGGTTAGGCACAACAGTTCAGATGACAATGTGTATTTGAAACATCTCTCTCATTAAGATCAACCTCAAAATTGATCTTGGCCTATCCTCAGAAGCACTATACAGGGTTACTATGAGTCTGGAACAACTCCACAGCACTTAACAACAACAATCGAGTCCTCATGTGGCAGTGTAGGACAAGCACTGGACCCCAAGGTCAATCTGAACTGCAAGGTCAGCAGTTCAAACCCACAAGTTACTCCTTGGAAACCCTACACAGGGTCACTATGAATGGGAACTGACTCAACGGCACCTTTCCAACAACAACAATGGAATCCTGGTGTGGCATTGTAAGATAAGCAGAGTTCGTGCCCACCAACTTCGCCTCGGAAACTTGGAAACCTATGCAAGCAAAGTCACTATGAGTCAGAACTGACTTAACAACAACAACGATACCACCTATGTGCTTAAGTTTTTTCTTCTTTCTGCTCTCAAGGCCCCTGTCTATGTCTCCCTCATTCTTTCAAGTTCTGCTCTTTTTTTTTGGTCCTAACATTTATCTTCAGTCTAATGCAATGTCAATGGAGTCCTGGTGTGGCATTGTGGGTTAATGCGCTGGACTGCAAAGCTGCTTCGAACCTCAAGGTCAGTAGTTGAAGCTCACCAGCTGTTCCTTGGAAACCCTATCTAGGATTGCTATGGGTTGGAATGAAACTTAAAGGGAACCTGCTAGCAGTCTAGTATGCTCGCAGGTGACCACCTGGGTCTACTTGTGAATGAAGTGGGGGAAATGTAGAAATGACAACATGTGGTGAGTATGGCCATGCTCTATTGACACCATTGACCATGAGATGAGACAGAAGATGAAGGGCTGGCTGGTCTGTGAACTACTGAGCCCTTGGCACTGAGCTAGTCCCTGGGGGTTAGGGCTGAAAGTAAAGTGGTCTGCTATTCTGAAGTGCATGGAGGTATGTACGAACTCCCAAATTTGACCTAGCTTGGATGGCTAGCAGACCAGAACTTGACCAGTTTAAGATAAAGATAGTTGATACTGTAAGCAAATAAAACTGCAACAATCTGATGAACTAGACTTTTGCTTATGGATGCAGTTGCTCAAAATTCCAACCAGAATGGAAGGATTCTTCATATAAGGAACAAACTTATTTCCTCAGTGTACTGGGTTTATGTTGTTGTTAAGAACCATTGAGTTGTTTCTGACTCATAGCAAACCTGTATAGCGTTTCCAAGTAGCTGGTGAGTTTGAACCATCGACCTTGTGGTCGACAGGGATGGGCAATTTAGACACTGACAATAAAAAATGGGGGGCCCATTTTCATGTGAACATTCCTGAGTGAAAGCAAGTAGGACTTGATGATAGGCCAGAAGAGGATAGAGGAAGACATAAGTCAAGAATCAGGCTGAAAAGAAGAGGGAGGTGAAGGCAGTAGGCTACAGACTCCACTTAGAGAAGGACTGTTCAAAAGGGGAACAGGGATATTCAGTGATGACTGGAAGATGCTATGAAGCCAAGTTTTGTTATTGATGCAAACAGTGAAGGGGTATAGTTGTTTATGTGTTTAAGATAGAGAGATGGAGAACTTTACAGTGCACCAAGTAATCCATTAGAAAAAGAAAGAGAGACTAAAGAAACCTCATCAGTGAGCAAAAGGGATGAAATAAGTACAACTGACAAATCATACTGAGCATCTGTCACATGTTCCTTCTTAAAGTTTTAACAGTTCAGTGCAGGAGGAAACCATATGAGTACATTATTGAACAATAAGGTAAGATCCAACGAAGTGTGTATAAAAATGTACTATGATGTATAATGAGTGCTATTATGCTATGAAAGAAGTTCTGGTAGAGTAGTGGTTGCGAGTCAGGCTGCAAACCTCAAAGTCGGCAGTTCGAAACTACCAGCTGTTCCATGGGAGAAAGATGAGGCTTTCTGATCCTGTAAAGATTTATAGCCTCGGAAACCCTATGCAAGGTTGCTAAGAGTTGGAACCGACTCCACAGCACATAACCACCACCACCACCACCATTATGCTATGAAAGATAAGGGAAGGGCAAGTATTGATATCAAATAAATGGCTGATAAACTTATTAATATATTTTCAGTAATTATTTTTTTCAGGAATGTGTTTCCAATTCTACCTTCTAGAAAATGACTTTTACTTTCCTTCCTCTAAAGCATTACATGAAGACAAAATTACATTTAGCACAAGACTAAGTGAACCTAGTTTTTGTAGTCAATTAAAAAGTTAATGTTATTAATGATAATAAATAGCTTAACCGCTAATAATTTTTCAAAGTTTGGTTCATCATTTAAGTTTTCTCCCAAGTAATATATGAATGAGTTCAGAAAAAATTTTTCTGCTTTGTGATGATGAGGAACTAGTGAGAAAGGCCTTTTACAGGCCATAATAAGTACCATCACTTTATGAGCAGTAGAGGCTTTGCATTTGAAAGGACTGTTCTGGGAGTCAAGATGGACTCACACTAACTCATGCACCTTGTTGAGGTCAGTATTTACTGAGTAAAATCAAAACCTGACCTTCCTAGCACCCTATACTAGAAAACAAAGCATATCACTCAGACACAATTTATGACATGAAGACATGGTCATTTTATTCAAAAGCTATGTACACATTCCAAAAGGATTCATTTAAAAAATAATACATTCTTTGATGATTCAAGAATGCTGACTAAATGAGGTAACATTGGCTGTTATAAAGGGAAAAGCCTAATTTCTTATAGTTAAAAAAACAAAAAAAATCACACAGTAATTCTACAACAAAAACACTTAGCACTAGTATATTAAGGTTCAAAATGATAGATCTATGATTCTCACAATAATTATTCGAACAATTACTGGATCAACACACCCCATTTCAACAATTGGACTCAAACTTTGCTTTTACTATACCAACCTGCTGAGCTGCATCTCCATTTACCATGTGAGGCATCATGGCGACTTCTCCATTCAGCAATGGCGGCAATTCCAGAGGGATTTGGTCGGTCATCATCATTGTGACGTACATTCATGGAGAATTTCCCTCAACAGGTTTCCTGCCAAAAAAAAAACAAAAACAAAAACATTTTTTTAAAAGGACACAGGTGTTTGATGAATGTAAAACTGATGATCTTGTCTGTGAATCTTTACTCTAGTCACAATAAAAAGTTAAAAAAAAAAAAAAGACACAGGCCCACATAAATCAGCTTAATATAACATACTAACAATATAAATGTTTGGTCAAGAAGGAGGCTGAAATTCAAAGTATTCTAATCATAGAATGTTATTCTCCTAGGTCCCATAAGGTGCAGAGCAAAGGCAAGAAACACAAGTGAGCAAAATTACAAAAGACCTATGCTTCCAAAGTGTCAGCTCTCTCTCTTGTGCAGCTTTGTCATCTACATATAAATTTTAAAAACATGTGCTAGTAAAAATTGTTAACAAGCTCAGCTATTAACAGAAAGGTGGGAGGTTCAATTCCATCCAGAAGCACCTTAGAAGAAAAGCATGGTAATCTACTTTGAAAAATCAGCTGAAAACTGAAAACTCATGGAACACAGTTCTACTCTGGCACACATGAAATCACCATGAGTTGAAATCAATAAAGAGTCACTGGTTTTTGGTTTGAAGAATAGGGTATGTCTGAAGATAAAATGGGATTACATTATGAGAAGGCAAAGGGGCCAAACATATTATAGCCACTGAGCCCATCAATCCATTTTGCTGAGGGTTTTCCTGTTCACTGACTCTGTTTATCAAGCATGCTATCCTGATAACATGACCAAAACACAAGAGATGAAGTCTCGCCATCTTTTCAATTAGTACTCTGATTGTGCTTTTTTCAAGACAGATTTGCACATTCTTCTGGCAGCATACTTATTATCCTTTGTAACCACAATTCTTCTTCAACCTTCTTCATTCATTGCCCAGCTTTCCCATGCATATGAGGTGACTCATTTAAATGATTTATATTTCTCAGTGTTTTTGTTTACACTCCCCTCAAACAAACAAACAAACAGAGGGACCAGAAGCAAATACTGTTGAATGATGATGCACAGAGGAGACTTGTAATAATTGCAATGAAACAATAAGGATAAAACCGATGTTCTCCCATGTAAACTAGTATTCAATTCACAATAAATTCACTTGGAAGAAGTCTTTTGCAATTTGCCTCATGCAATACAAAGGTTGATTTTTTTTTTGACTGCTGCTTCAATGCACATTGATTGTGGGTCCAAGCAAAATAAACCCTGACAATTTCAATCTTTTGTTCATTTATCATGATGTTATTTATTGGTCCAATCGAGAGGATTTTTGTTTTCTTTAGGTTTAGGTATAATCCACCTCTAAGGCAACAGTCTTTGAGCTCAACCAGTAAGTGCTTTATCTCTTGTTTGTTCAGGAAGTAAGGTTGTTACGTCTAAGTATCGCAGGTTGTAGGTGAGTCTACCTCTAATCCCAATAAAATGTTCTTCCTGATAGCTCAATTTCTCAGATTATTTGGTCAGCATATAGATCGAATAAAAACGATGAAAAGATATAACTCTGGCATACATTTTTCCTGACTTTAAACCACAGAGTATGTTTAAAAAAAAAAAAAAACTCTTTGCCTATGTGCAGGTTCTGCATGAACAATTAAAGAGTTATGAAATTCCCAAGCTTCTCAATGTCGCTCAAAATTTGTTCTGACCCACCCAGTCAAATGACTCAGGATAGTAAACATCTTTCTAGTAATGTGTTTTCAGCCAAGATCTACCTGACCTCAGCAATGACATCCCTCGTTCCACATCCCCTTTTGAATTCCTGGTAGCTCCCTGTCAATGTACTGTTTCAGCTGTTTTTAAATTATCTTCAGCAAAATTTTACTTGCATGTGATATTAATGATACAATTTGATATTTTCCACATTCTTTGGAATGGACACAAATATGGATCTCTAACAGTTGGCTGATCGGGTACCTGTCTTCCAAATTTATTGGAATAATAAGCATTGCATCCATTTGTTGAAACATCTCAATTGGTATTCTGTCCATTTCTGGAGACCTGTCTTTCACCAATGCTTGCAGTGCACATTGGATTTCTTCCTTGAATACTATTGGTTCTTGATCATATCTACTTCCTGAGGTGACCAATTCTTTTTGGCACAGTGATTGGTATATTCCTTCCCTCTTCTTTTGATGCTTTCTGCATCATTTAATACTTTGTCCATAGAAATCTTCAGTATTGCAAGTTTTGTCTTGAGTTGCTTTCTTCAGCTTTTTTCACTTGAGAAGTGTTAAGCATTCTCTTCCCTTTGGTTTTGGAACTCAAAGGTTTTATACATTTCATTATAAAACTTGACTTTGCCTTCTTGAATTGTCCTTTGATATTTTCTGTTTAGTTCTTTTGCTTCCTCATTTCTTCTACTGCCATAGCTTCTCTATGTCCAAGAGTAAGTTTTAGAGTCTCTTCTGATATCCATTTTGGTCTTTTTTTTTTCTTTTCTGTCTTTTAAATGATCTCTTGCATTCTTCATGTATGATGTTATCCCAGAACTTCTCTGGTCTTCAGTAAGTAGTGTTCAACACATCAACTCTATTCGTGGAATGGCCTCTGGTCAAGGTCATACTTTGGCTCTCATGGACTTGTTTTAATTTTCTTCAGTTTCAACCTGAACTTGCTTAGAAACAGTTGATGATGGTCTATTCCACCGTCAGCCCCTGACCTTGTTCTAACTGATGACATTATGCTTCTCCACATTCTCTTTCCACTGATGCAGTTCAGTTGATTCTTGTGTTTTATTTCTGTGTAATCCATCCTCTCTGAGGCTGACATGTATGCTGTTGTTAAGTGCTGACATGTATGCTGTTGTTAAGGCTGTCATGTATGCTGTTGTTAAGGCTGACATGTATGCTGTTGTTAAGTTGTTGTACATTCTGACTCATCACGACCATGAACAGAGTTTCTGACCTTGTGACTTAAACCAACCTTGCAGTGCAGTGCCTATCCTAGAATACCACATAGTCTCTATTTATGTTGTTGAAAAAAAGACACTACACTACATCAGACAATCTTCCACTGCTATTCATAAAGTTTTCGCTGACCAGTATTTTCAGAAGTAGATCACCAGGTCTGTCTCCTCAATCTATATTTGTCTGGAAATTCTATCTTAATCTGGAAGTTTTGCTGAAACCTGTCCATCAAAAGTGATCCTGCTGGCATTTTAACACCTGCGGCATACTTTCCAGCAATGTTGTTGTTGTTAAAGTGCCGTCTAGTCATTATAGCAACATGTAGATCACCAAAGTACATAAACTGACACACAAATGGTCACAACCATCCATAATTTTTACTCCTAAATACAGCATGCCTCTTTCACTGGAGTCAAAATAGTGGTCACAAGCAGTTAATCCAAGCAGGTAAGCAAAAGAGAATGATCTATAATGCAAATTACTGGTTTTATTATTAATTTGATCATTCTAGTTCCCTCTCCCCCATTGTTTTTGTTAACTAGCAAATAATTTGTTGTATGTCAACATCTTTTATCACTTCTGTGTATTTTAAGCTTGCCTGTATCTCAAATAGTACCCATGGCACCTTGTGCAAAATAGGGCTATAATTACATTCCATTTTTGCTTCCAGAGAACAAATAATACTCACACATGTATTCAAAAAACACAAAACCCACTTTCAGTCCATAATAGTTCTTGTCACAAACATTTAACTTTTCAGTTCAATAGGAAGGAAATAACAAAGAATTCCTATTTAGAACTAGAATGTGTTCTTTACGAAACATTCCCATGTCACTCAATTATGCTTAAAATTCATGACCAAAAAAGTTAACAGCACAAAGAAAGGTATGCATACACACATACATACAATGTTTTACATACTTTATAAACAAATTGCCATATACTTTACAGTTGAAATTCTTATCATTCACTAAGAAAGTTCTACAAAATTTGAAATCTAAGGGCATTTGGTCAGTCAATCTTTTATTATTCAATGAGTTAATTATAAGCAAGTTAGACAAAACAGTGACACAAATCTTTTAATGGTTCTCTCAATTTTATGGTTGATGGTTATGCTGTGGAGTCAATTCCGACTCATAGCAACCGTATAATAGGGTCTCCAAGGCGGTAAATCTTTATGGGAGTAGAAAGTCTCATCTTTCACCCTTGGTAATTTTGAACTGCTGACCATGAGATTACCACCCCAATTCATAAGAACTATGCTGCTCGAGCTCAATTTTTATCTTAGATGTATGTAATAAAAATATTTCTTTACAAACACCCCCATTCTGAACATTAAATATACTTCATTAGTTCCCTTTAAAAAAAAATTCTTACTTGGAAGTTATCAAGTAATGTATAAAGTCCACTCAAGAGATTATAAACTTGAAAAAATTTCAAGGAGGTAAAATGTTACACTTCATTAATAACCCCATTTGGAGAAACTAATTTCTTTAAGCACCAAACAATGAAGTTTTGTCCCAAATAGGGAAGCAAATTCTATAACAAAAGATCTCATAATTCGGTGTTAATAGTACCATCATACTGTTTCATTAAGCAATTACTCAGTTCCCGAGTCCTGGTGTGGCACTGTGCGTTAATGTGCCAGACTGCAAAGCCGCCAGACTGCAAAGCCGTTTGAACTGTAAGACCAGTGGTTCAAGCTCACCAGTCACTCCTCGGAAACCCTATACAGGGTCGTAACCGACTCAATGGCACTTAACAACAACAACAAAGCAAATAAAAGTACAAAACCGTAGTCCAAAAGCTTATCCTAATGAAGAAAGCAGATTCATCTATAGAAAAATTAACAAAAGATAATTTCGCTGATAGCATCATGATATCTCTATTTGATTTTAAGAAGGTCAAATAATTTTATACTTTATCCTCCTACTGTGCAAAGAAATAATGGGTACTCTTCCTTGGTTTGATGCTATGACACAGGCCCTTCTTAAATTTAATGTTTTACTGAATGTTGCTACGAAATCACAAGTTGTGTAATTAGGGCAACCATACAGACTAGGAGCCTGGGCATAAGCATTTAGGTTTGAAGCAATAGCCCAGGTTCTCTTCACCTTTACCTCACTTCTGTCCATGGAGGAATTAAAGGACACCTGCTGTCATGTCACTGTGACAATTACAGCTCTCCTTTTCTCTGTCATAGAAGAAGTACAGCCAAAATGCTCTTTGGAAGCAAGGTTGCAGACAGTGTGTCTCACATACTGTGGACATGTTAACAGGAGGGACCAGTCCCTGGAGAAGGACATTATGCTTGGAAAAATAAATAGTCAGTGTAAAAGAGGAAGACCCGCAACAAGATGTATTGACACAATGGCTCCAACAATGGGCTCAAACGTATCAATTATGAGGATGGTGCAGGAGCGGGCAGTGTTTCATTCTGTTGTTCTTAAGTTCAGCACGATCCAGAAATGACTCGACGCCACCTCCTCACAACATGCAAGAAAAAGTCTATTAAACTAGACAACAACCTACCAAGCTACCTCTTGAAATCATCATAGAATAAAAACAACTTAGTGACATGGACTTTATTATAAAGGACAACAGAAAAGGTCAGGGAGAATTACCTAAGCACTATACTGAAGAGCTACGGTGGTTCTTTTATGGATATTCACAGTGATGGAGGGGGAGAGCAGTGGGTTTTCCAAATTCAAATGGAAAATCAACCAGGATGTCACCTGGGGAAACACACAACCCAAAACTGACAGTTAAAGAAGGTTAAGTGGGCATCGTCATCAATCATTAATGGTGACAGCTCCCCTTAAGTCAGTCTCCTGTTTTGATAGGTCGCCTAGACAAAACTACATGTATACTCTCAAATCACAGCAGGTGTGGCTCATCGTAGCTGCTTTGTGGACACCTGGGAATGTGACATACTTGAAGCAAGTCAACAAAACTTTCAAACAGAATAAAAGGATGATGTAATGAATGTGAAAGGCTTAGCATCCATGCAGTTAACTTTAAGGACAAACATCTACTTCACTTGCAATGATCTAAACACATCTAATAATCATCTAAATTATAGATTTTGTTGCTCTGTCAAAGAACAAAGTAGTTACAGCTTTATCTTTTCATAGAGATTTGGTTTGTTGTGAGCCATAATTTTGTGTTGTCATAAGGTAATATACTAGGTAACTAAAGCATTTGAGCCTTACATATCCAAAGAAATTCACCCCTCTTTGAGTTCTTGTGCTTGAATTATTCTCTCTTTCTGATCAAGCAGTCTGTTAATCACATTCCCTAAAACCTCAGGGCCAAGTCCTAAAATTGCTGCTTCAATCTGTAAAACAGAATTAAATAAACATATAGACCAGAATGGTCTCTGGTTTCAGAAGCGCCTCCACGTACCCTGCACCATCTTCTTTGGTGAGTATCAGTTGTGAGTGTCACAAAGTCTGTCAGATGTGGCCTCGGATAATGGCAGCATAGCCGTTTTATATTTCTGTCTGAAAGTCTCATGAGACAGTATTCTGCGGAATCATTCATTTTCTTGGTCTGTGTTCCTTTTCTCTTGGACCTGAGCTGGCTAAGTCTACCACAGAGCTCAGTCCATTTTATTCAAGGCAGTTTCACACCCACATAGCCACAAATGCGCGTGCACACTCATACACGTGAACAATCTTGTAACAAATCCATCCTTTAGACCACTACACTTTGCCAACACATTAAACTTATAAACTGCTGCATGAAGAATAAATGTGCTGCAAAACTCATCAGAATAAACCAATGGAAAAATTTATTATCTCTACTAAAACACATTTTTGTAATCCTCTGAACTTTTATTCTTCACACAGTGCTCCATAAACAAATGGAAAAATAGATTATCTCTACTAGAACACATTTTTTTAATCCTCTAACCTAATTCTTCACACAGTGCTCCAAGGTTTCTCTTCTAGTCTTTATTCTGCTGTAACCCACACTTCCATTTCAAAGAATTTGGTAACAACCACAGGCCCACACAGCCACTCCCCCAACCACACATCCTAACACTAAAACCGTAAGTACTTTAGGCCCAGCCAGTTCTATTATTTTGATTGACAGGGATAGGATGCCACACGAACATTTGTGGTTAACTTCCTCTCTCCTAAGAGAGCACGTCCTTGGTTACCTACTAGCAAGGCAGAGAGTTACCAATAGGAATGCCAGCGCTAATAGCAGGGGTGGGCACAGGCACTCTGGAAACAAAATGAACAGACACTTACTGTTAGTAAGACATTTAATTACATCCAAGCAGGCCCCAAAGCTTTTAAAGAAAACTTTATTTTAAAAGAGTATTATAAAGGGTCTCTAGTTTTCACTTTTCTCTAGGCAACTGGATTTTTAATTTTTCTACTTTGCTCCCCCTACTCCAACTCTAAAAAAGTTTGTCCAGGTTATTTTGGTCAGAAATACTCAGAAACCTATTGGTCAAACACATGTATGAAGAGCCTCAGAATTGAACTACAAATCCATTTTCAAAGGCCAGAGAAAGCAACTATACACTAGGAAGAATTTCTTACTTAAAAAACAAAACACAAAGCCCTAATCACTGTTGGGAGAGTTTTTAAGTCTGTGAACCTGGCCTTCAAATTAGTAACAAAATGTCCTAGTCCTCACTCTGTGGGCCAATGACCCAAATCTCCTTACATTAATTCAAGATGTGAGTTACCATTACAGTATACAAATTAGTTTCAGATGACAGAAAGAAATATACCACCATCAAAAGGAGCAGAGTATAACCATCAGAACCAAAGAGCCTACTGTACTCACTGCATTCAAGCACAGATAACCTGAAATACAGACTCTCCAGCTCACTTTATGAACACCCCATCCAGCCTCTTGACTACCCCAAGGAAATGCTTACAAAGTAGATAGGGTAAGGGAACCAAAAAGAAGAATGATGGGAATCCGTTTTTAACTTTTAGTTTCCATGTGCCAACCCAAATGCACTTTCAGAAACCAAATGGGTACATATGGACTGCTAAACACAAACTCGGCAGTTCAAATCCATCAGCTGCTCTGTGTGACAAAGAAAGATGAGGTCTTCTGCTTCAGGAAGATTTACAGCATCAGAAACTCACACTGGACTGCTAATTTCAAGGTCGGTGGTTCAAAGGCATCAGCTGCTCCTTGGAAACCCTAGACAAGGTCGCTATGAGTCTGAACAACTGGACAGCACTTAACAATAACAAATAGTCTAATAGTAGGCTGTTCAAAATTCATATCACTAAAGTTGATCATGAATTCATATATTCCAAAAGCTTAATATCTTTCCAAATAAAATGTTGATTTACCAGTCACCTTCACAGGATCTCAACAGCATGTAGATATTTTGCTTACAACATGTTAATTCTATTGATTGAAGAACATATTGTCAAGGCACATTAGTAAAACCATAACTTCCTTCATACATCAAGAAAATGTCCTTTTCTATAAAAACTTCCCATTGATTTCTAACAATGATCTATTATGAGTCAAGTTTCAGAAAATCACCACAAACATACTCAAGAGAAATATCCTAGCCATTAATACTAGCAACAAGAAAATAAAACTTTTCTTCCATTCAGTGAGGGCAGAGAGAAGAAAAAAAAAAAATCAGTGGTCAATTTCACACACACAAAAAAAAATCAGTGGTCAATTTCACAAAAAAAAAAAAAAATCAGTGGTCAATTTCACACACACAAAAAAAAATCCACACTGAATTACATAAAACAGGCTCTTTTTTACTGTATTTGCTTAAGGGTAGGGAAGTTAACAGGAAGGACCAGTCCCTGGAAAAGGACATCATGCTTGGTTAAAAAAAAAACTTTTTTAAGAGGAAAACCCTAAATGAGATATACTGACACCATGGCTGCAACAATGGGCTCAAACACTGCAACACTTTTGAGGGTGGCGAAGGACCAGGTAGTGTTTCCAGTGTTTCTGTTGTACATAGGGTCATTATGAGTTGCACTGGACAAGAGGGACTAACAACAGGGAAATGTTTTTTTTGTTGTTGTTGTTTTTTTAAGGGCTATATACATACATATGTATATATCAGACAGTTATTTTATGACTGATTACAGGACTAGCTTCTAAATGGCTTCCAATATAAAGCACATGCCTAACAAAACTCAATTATAGCAAATAAACCTTTATATAATTGATTTACATTTGTTTAAACCACTGTGGTGATTTTTTAAAACAATTCTCAAATGTCATCAATTTGACAGAAAATCAGATAGCACAGGAAGAGAGGCAGGACAGGTGGAAGGAAAAAAAAAACCCAACGAACTGCCTTAATAAGCCTTCCTCATTTGGGGGTATATTATGTATATAAGGGAGCTTCAAAAACTCCGTGGGAAAATTCCAGCAAATTTCATTCCATTTTTCCACAATTGTTTGGAAATCTCCTTGTATATGCCATCAGTCCCAAGGACTCACACCATTCTAAACGTGCAGCCTACCCAAGAGAAGAAGGGAGAGGGAAGGAAAGAGGGAGGGAGACAGAAGGAGAAAGAGAAAAAGAAAGGTTGTTGTACACATTCCTATAACTAATGTGTCCTCAAAGTGTCCTTTGCTCTTTTATTTCCTCACCCAGAAAGTCTCCTATCCTTCTTGCTCCATGCTTTGAAAAGTAACTACCTGGATGATGTTTCAAGACCTAAAAACCATGAAAATGTCATTTCTAACCTGCCCAGCAAAGCTAGAAACTCTTTTGATAATTACTATGGAAACACCAATAGCATCAATGAAGTGCAAAGAGGTGGGGGGAGGATGATTAAAATAAAACAAGCACAAAGCAATCTTCTTTAGCTCTGAAATTTGGGGGGAAATTTGCTCACCCATCAACACACACCAGAGTACTTCTATCACCTCCCTGCAACTGTGAAAGGGTGGTTTTCTTTCCCAGTAACAGGAAACCATTGCCCTGGGCACTACCTCAGGAATTAGCATGTATCCATTTGGAACCTGAAGGTGGGCTACTGTCACTGGACACCAGAAACTCTGGGGATGGTGTTAATGCTTTTCCTGCAACTGCTCTCTCCTGAACATTTTGGGCAGCCATGAGAAGGCATTCAGCACCAGAAAACACTGCCCCCAAACTCTGTGGGTTTTGTTGGGGTTTTTTTGTTAACCCTTCACTTTTTTTGAAAATCAAATACAGGTGATGGGGAGGGTGATATGGAGAAGGACATGACTTTTATTAGAATTGACAGTGCCTTAGTGGTTACGAATCGGGCTGCGAACCTTAAGGTCAGCGGTTCGAAACTACCAGCGGCTCCGCGGGAGAAAGATGAGGTTTTCTACTCCCGTAAAGATTTACAGCCTTGGAAACCCTGTACAGGGTCGCTATGGGTCGGAACCGACTCGACGGCACTTAACAACAACAACAACTGGTGTGGCACTGTAGGAAAAGCACTGGACTGCTAACCCCAAGGTTGGCGGTTCAAACAGACCGCTCCATGGAAACCACACACAGGAACGCTGTGAGTCAGAACAGCAACTGCTACAAACAGCTCAAAGAACAGTATGCTATGGGGAAAGGGGAGACTGAAATATTAGTAAGCATTGGGAAGATCTGAGTTGTATTCCATGGTGTGTCAATAATTAGTTCTACACTGGAGTGATTCACCTTTTCTTTTATTAAATGACAAAATTATCGGTTCCTTTCTGATCTGAACTGATCGTTTCAAATAGCAATTACCTACTTACTCCAGAGTAAACGAAAGCTTAAAAAGAGAGGTCTATTCAAGTTCTAATAAAAATGCTAGCTTCCCTTATGTGTATGAATATATCCTGTCCCTGATTCATAGGAGGGAAAAAAATCTAAGCAAAACACTGAAAAAAAACGAAAGTATTGAGCAAAGATGGTAATCACAATGTTTTTTATGCCAGTGAATCTAATTTTACAGCTGAGTTCTATACAGCTGTGCAAGAAAGACTCTTGCCACGGCTTGCCACTTGAATGAAAGAAGGAGTGGTGATAATTGTTCATGCAGAACAACCTCTTGAGACATGAGCAATACCTGGAGGTATGTGCCCAGCTGGTTGGTCGAGGCACAAATAGTCTGGAATTTGTCTTCTTGTCTGGTATGTGTTCATTAGTGAAGTTAAATCACAGTTGTCTGAAAAGTTCTAACCTTAAAAACATTCTTGCTTTTGCATCCAATTATAAACATAGGAGAATTCGTTCAGAACATTTAAATACATGGATAAATCCTATGAAATGGATTTTTTTTTCCAATTTAAAAAAAGGCAACCATGGATTAAATAAGTAACAAATGGCTCAAGCAACAAATCAAAAAATAGCTGTCCACTGTCTTCTACCGAGCAGATGGTTGTAGTGGTAGTTATGCCCTGTGGAATCGGTTACAACTCATAGCAACCTATAGAGGGCTTCTGAGGCTCTAAATCTTTATGGGCGAAGACAGCCTCATCTTTCTCCTGTAGAAGAGCTGGTAGTTTCGAACTGCTGAACTTAAGGTTAGCAGTAGACTAATAACCAGTACGATACCACAGCTTTCTGGAAAGCAGAAGATATCAAGTAATCTTAACATATAATACCTTCCCTTAAGAATGCATACTTTTTATTTTTATTTTTTGGCTCTGCCTAAATGGCAAAGCATGGACTCCTGGTGTGGTACTGTAGGATCAGCACTGGACTGTGAACCACAAGATCAGCAGTTCAAACCCACCAGCTGCTCCTTGGAAACCCTAACTATATAAGGTCACTGTGAGTGAGAAAAAGACTCAACAGCACTTAACAACAACTTAAATGGCAAAGCACAGTCTTGTGGCAATCCAGAACTTCTCTACTGGGTTAAGGTCATTTCTTAAACGGTAAAGTGGTAAATGCTACATAGCTAAGTGTATGCAAAATATGAGTAATTTGAGGCCACTTTCATACTCCCTCATTAATATGCACAAGTTGTTTCCATAGTCTTTCAACATACCACAAATCTTTACAGAAACAAAAACTAGAAAGGGAAAAAATTACATCACTATAAACACACAAGCTCTTGACCTCAGATGCCCATTTACACATAAATAAACCTAAATTTTACAAATACTAACTAAAAAGGGGGCCTATCCACTAAAAGTTTACTAACCAAAGGTTTGTTTGCTTTTGCTTCTTGTTTTTTAAATGGTGTTTAAACACGTTTGTAGACCTACTTAGACATTTCTACTGGAATACCTAGATACAAAGTACAGTCAGATCACAATAAACCTCACACCCCATACTGGTATCACACAGATGTAATCTACAAGGAGAGTCCTGGTGTGGTGCTGCAGGATAAAGTACTGGTCTACAAGGTCAGTTTGAACTGCAAGGTCAGCAGTTCAAACTCACCAGTCACTCCTCGGAAACCCTATACAGGGTCACTAGGAGTCATAACCAACTTGATGGCACTAAACAACAACAAACCCTTATTCTCATACATACATAAACGATCTTTGCCACATGTTTCAAAGGATGAAAGTAAATGAACATATGTATTTTCAGTGAACTTTGGAGCATGTTTTTAGGTTTTTTTAAGATGGCTTTTTTGATAGGGCAGTGAGGGTAAAAACTACAGAGAATTGTAGTTAGTGAGTGGAAACAGTCACTTCCTTTCTGATCTAGACTTTCCATCTCGCTACCCATCTACGTCAAGCTGCATAGGGTAAAGGTAGCTGAGAAGTTGGAAGACAAGCTCTCCACTGTCTCAGAAAGAGAAGTCCACTTGTCACCCAGCCTTCGGACGCCATCACCACCTGAAGTCTCCATAGCACTGACAAAGTTCCCACTGCTTGTCACGGCTGTGGCACAACAGCTGTTCCTGGGTAAGAGTCGCCATGCCTCAGTTTTTTTTAC